ATCCTCAGGAAATGTATGTCTATAGCTGCCCACAATGCTTAAAGGGTGATAATGGTGATATAATGGTACAATGTGAGGGCTGTGAAGTGTGGTATCATGAAGATTGTGTTCCAACTTTCAAAGCAGAGGATGAATGGTATGGCCCACTGTGCTGCAAATCCTAAGAGAAGTACACCGCCAAGCTAGACTAAAACACACTACAAACTAAAATTAAGCTATATTCAGTATTTAAATAGTATTTACCCTTTAATAATCAAATTGAAAACTAAAATAATCCTACAGTAATCTTCATAATCCTCATAATCCTTCAAATAATCTGATAATCTTCATAATCTTCTTCATAATCTTGTTATCCATCGTAATCCATCTAATCTCAGTAATCTTGATTATAATCCTATAATCAGTATAATCCTGTACACTTTTCAGAGCCGTTGCAGACTACAGTGACTACAATGACACTAGAGACTACAGTCACTACAATGACACTAGAGACTACAGTGACTACAGTGACACTAGAGATTACAGTGACTACTGTGACACTAGGCACTACAGTGACTACAATGACACTAGAGACTACTGTGACTACAGTGACACTAGAGACTACTGTGACTACTGTGACACTAGAGACTACAGTGACTACAATGACACTAGAGACTAAAGTGACTATACAGTGACAGTATAGACACAGTGACTACAATGACACTAGAGACTACAGTGACTGCAGTGACAGTAGAGACTAAAGTGACTACACAGTGACAGTAGAGACTACAGTGACTACAATGACACTATAGACTACAGTGACTACAATGACACTAGAGACTAAAGTGACTATACCAGTGACAGTAGAGACTACAGTGACTACTCAGACACTAGAGACTACAGTGACACTTGAGACTAGAGTGACTACAATGACACTAGAGACTACAGTGACTACAGTGACACTAGAGACTACAGTGACTACTGTGACACTAGAGACTACAGTGACTACAATGACACTAGAGACTATAGTGACTACAATGACACTAGAGACTACAGTGACTGCAGTGACAGTAGAGACTACAGTGACTACAATGACACTAGAGACTACAGTGACTACAATGACACTAGAGACTATTGTGACTATACAGTGACAGTATAGACTACAATGACACCAGAGACTAAAGTGACTATACAGTGACAGTATAGACTACAGTGACTACAATGACACTACAGACTACAGTGACTACAATGACACTAGAGACTAAAGTGACTAGACAGTGACAGTATAGACTACAGTGACTACAATGACACTAGAGACTAAAGTGACTAGAGAGTGACAGTATAGACTACAGTGACTACAATGACACTAGAGACTACAGTGACTACAATGACACTAGAGACTACTGTGACTATACAGTGACAGTATTTATAGGCAGTAGCCTATATGTAGGGTTGAGGTTGATTTTTCAAGATGGTGGCCAAATTTACAATTTTCAAACGCTTATAACCCTTTCAGCTTACATTGTACAGCCTTATAAATGGCTTAACTGAGTTCTCCTTCACTGAGCGATTCTCCTGGTACCTTTAAAGTGACCTGTGATGTAACGTGAGCAATTCTAGA